GCAATATCTTCTACAAATGGAACCACTACACGTTGATATGTGCCTTGATGTATATTTGAAATTCTAACCTATTTCTAGGTTCCAAATGCTACAATCACTACGAGTTGGAATTCCGTGCCATCTAACTATTACGTAGTCCATCCATCTACCATTACTCATATGACAATATACCCCTTTAATGCTTTGGCAGTCCTACTATAAAATCCATAACTATATTCTCCCATTTTCTCCCATTTCCACCTTGTCATGCATGAGGGTCGCATTTGTCATGCATGAGGGTGCACTAATGCTGCAATTCTTTATCTAGATGCCTTGACCTAGTGGCAAATAAGACACTTACTTACAAATTATGTTATGTCCTTCTTCATGCTACACCACAAAAAATGTTATTTCAAATCCTGATACATCTTAATGTCACCGGAATATATAGCAAACGAGGAGTTATATGCTTCGATTAATATCTCATTTTTTAGCTCTTCCATCGCTGGCACGCATAGTCGCCCTTGGCATAACAATCTACCATTAGATAATTTAGAGAAACCTCCCGTTGGTTCTGTCGTTAGTTGATCTAAAATCTTGGTTAATCTAGGATCTCATTTTGGAGAATCAATGATCCGATGTTAGAGATGCTAGCCCGATTAGTATGAGTCCTAGGAGGTGTAAAAATTGCCTTGTGAGTCCATATTCCCATGTCTGGGCCGTGTGTAGAGTAGTAAATACACATATGATGGCTCGTATTGAAAAGTTACCTAAGAGAATACGGTTTTAAATGATGGGTCCCATTCATATTGTATGTGTGTACCTTCCCTAACCCCAATAGTGAATTCACTTACTGAATATTTCGTAAAATACTCAAACTACATGCTACTTTTATATTTTAGGTAAAGGCAAGACACCCTGGTACGACATTGCATTAAAGATCATGAAACCTACATAAGATAGTTGTATTTATTTTTGGTAGATTTAGGGTAGTATCGGTCATTGCTCTTTGAATACTTTTCTCCGTTTTATTGTAATGTACTTGATCTTTTTTTCGGCCATAAATGAAATAAGGACAAGTAGGTAAGGGAAAGGAAAGCGAGTTGAATTATGAAAGCCCCTTTAGAAAACAGTCACACATCACACATTTGGTTTGAAGGCTGAGCAGATCAGACCAAACCCATGATGCTTTCTTCTTCTTCTTCAACTGGTAAATGGAAATTCAATGTGTTCTTGAGCTTCAGAGGGGAAGACACCCGTGGCGGCTTCACAGACCATCTCTACAAAGCCTTAATACACAAAGGAATCTCCACCTTCAGAGACGAAGACGACATCGAAGAAGACACCGACATTTCTTCCGATCTGTCCGCCGCCATTGAAGCGTCGAGAATCGCGCTCGTTGTGGTTTCAGAAAACTACGCTTCTTCTAGGTGGTGCCTTGAGGAGCTGAGTAAGATCTTTGAATGCCACCACCGGCTTGGGATGACCGTGTTGCCCATCTTTTATGAACTAAGATTTGGAGAACATAACCCCAACATCCAAAAATGGAGGCAACTTCTTACAAAGCTCGCCAACCTCAAGGCTTGGCTTTTGGAATCTTGGTAACAAACAATTTCATCCATTTTTTTTGGTGTCTTCTTCATTTATTATAATTGATATTGTTAGGATAAATATAATTACCGTTAAGATAGGTAGATTTGAATAATAAATGGGATGGGAAGATTTGAATCGAGATGTGAAGATAGGTAGTACATGTCAATTACCCTAAGCTATACTCACTTATTAATTAGCCATAATTACTAATCAAATATATTATGATTTACTATGACACTACTTATTTACTTGTGCTCCATTCTCTTGGGCTCAGGACACGTGAATCCGAAGTCATTGAAGAAATCACGATGGTTCTATGGAAGAGAATCAAACCGACCTTGAGAGTCACTCAAGAACACCAACTAGTTGGAATCAAATCTAAACTAACCAAACTTTCTTCTCTTTTGAGCCCGAACTCAGATGAGGATGTGATCTGGGTAGGAATTCATGGAATGGGTGGCATTGGTAAGACGACATTAGCTAAGGTTTGTTACGAGCGAATTCGCGACGAATTTGAAACTCATTGCTTCATCTCCAATGTTCAAGATAAATTTGAAACTTGTGGTCTTCCATATTTACAAAGTGAACTCCTTTCAAGGATGTTTTCAATTGAAAACGACATAGGGGATGTAGACGAAGGTATCGCTATGATAAACCAAGTGATTTTATGAAAAAAGATTTTTCTTGTCCTAGATAACGTGAATTTTTCAAACCAAATCACGAGATTCATTCTAAATAAGGACTCTTTTGGGAACAGTAGCCGAATAATCATCACAACAAAAAATGCAGATTTACTTTCAAATGAGTTCGAAGTGAAAAGAATGTTTGAAATGAAAGAACTTACAAACGAGGAAGCCCTTGAACTCCTTAATTTGAGTGCTTGTCCAAAAGAATGTTACTTAGAACGCTCTATGAACATTGTCAAGATTGTGGGAGGCCACCCTCTTGCACTCAAATTATTGGGATCATCTCTAAGAAACAAAGATTTGAGTGTGTGGAAGTATGTGATAGAAGAGCTTCAAGGAGGTGGGAATATTCATGAAAAAGTTTTTAAGTGCCTTAAAGTGAGTTATGATGGATGGGATGAGTGGGAGATGTTAGACGAACACGACTCTCCACAATGGTATGATATTGTCCACGTTGAGCATAAACTCTCATGGCTTTGCTTTGGGCTTCCCCAAAAGGCCTCATACCAATGGAGGTAGTATTCCTCACTTATAAACTCATGATCACACCCTAAATTAGTCGATGTGGGACTTCCATCATCCAACAGGAGAAAGATATATTTCTAGACGTTGCTTGCTTTTTCAAGGGGAAGAAAAGAGAGGTGGTAGAAGAGATTCTAAATGGTTGTGGTTTCCATGCCAAAATAAGGGTTGAACTTCTCATTCAAAAATCTCTCTTAACTGTCTCTTATGGCAACAAATTGAGGATGCATGATTTATTGCAAGAAATGGGTCGAAAAATTGTTCGTGTTGAAAAAAATCAAGATCGACTATGGCGCCACAAGGATATTACAAGCATAGTAAGTTATATTGTCAACCTATTTGGAGTGATTTTCCAAGTTATTAAAAACTTTCAAAAACTAGATATTTTTTACGCTTAGAAAGTCATTTCAAATGTTGGTGAATTCAGGTGAGAGAAGCATTAGTTGAAAGCATATTGTTCAAGTCGACAAAAAACGTTGTGGAGTTCCCAATTTCGTTCTCAAGAATGCAGCAACTAAGGCTGCTTAATTTTCACAATGTGAAGCTGAAAAATGAGTCCGAATATTGCATTCCAAGTGAGTTGAGATATTTGAAGTGGAAAGGATATCCCTTGGAGATTTTGCCATTCAATTCTGAAGAATATAAGGTTATTGTGCTTTACATGTGCTACAGCAATTTGAAGCAATTTTGGCATGGAGAAAAGGTAACAATCTCATACTATATGCGTACCCATAAATGTTGTTCTTGTGTTGAATTGATATCAATCTTTACTCTTTGATAGCATTTGGAGAAGCTGAAGTATATCAAACTCAATCATTCTCAGAAGTTGTCCAAAACTCCAAACTTTGAAACTATTCCAAATCTCACAACATTGGAGCTTGAAGGTTGCACAAATTTGGTCAACATTCATCCAACAATTTTCACCGCAAAAAAACTCACTTTTTTGAGTTTGAAAGATTGCATCAATCTCACCAATTTTCCACCCCAAATAGATTATTGGAACTCTATTTGGATGGCACCTCAATATCAAGCCTACCTTCATCAATAGCCATCTTGGATAACCTAACAGTGTTGAGCTTAACCAATTGCAAAAATCTTATCAACATTTCAAATGCGTTGGATAAGATTACATCTCTCAAAAGCTTAAATCTTTTGGGATGTTCGAAGCTTGGAAATAGAAAACGAAAGCGGGGCGATGTCGAAACGGTGGAGTTAGACGTGAGACGAACGGCACGAAGAACGGACGACGGAGACAATATCTTTAGAAAGATTTTTCTTTGGTTATGCAAAGCTCCAACAAGTGGCGTTTTTGGGATCCCATCACTGGCTGGTTTGTACTCTCTTACAAGCCTAAATTTGAGTGATTGCAAGCTTGAGGAAGTCCCGGAAGGGATCGAGTGTTTGGTGTCGTTGGTGCATCTGAACTTGTCTCGAAATAATTTCTCTCGTCTTCCTACGAGCATTTCTCGACTCCATAACTTGAAAAGATTGAACATAAACGAGTGTGAAAAGCTTCTTCATTTTCCAGAACTACCGCCAAGTATCTCAAGGTTGAACTCAAAGGGCTGCATTTCGGTGAAAGATTTTCTAGACATTTCAGAAATTGAGCATTCCATAACAGAAGTGAATCTTCTAAACTGCTACCAATGGGCTGACAACAAAGGGCACCACAAATTGATCATTTCTTCGATGCAGAAGATGCTTTTCAGAAAAGGACCCTTCAGCATCATGTTTCCCGGGAGCGAGATTCCAGATTGGTTCACGACGAAAAAAAAGGGTTCTTCGATATGCGTCAAGTGGGATCATGGCGCGCTGAACGCTGACATGGTTCGCTTTATGCTCTGCGTCGTTTGTGGACCGAGCAACAAAAACAACATCGCCAATGTTTCCTACAACATTTTTGTCTCTATGACCGGAAAAGACCGTAACCACCCAAATTTGAACAATGAAAATTCTATGGTTGGTGCATTCATTGTTTCAGGGATGAAGAAGTTAGACCACATTTGTGTTGGAAAGTGGGATAGTGAAAGAGATAGGAATGGATAGGAATAGATGAAAGCTACCGTGCTTTATTATTGTCTACTGACTCAATGCTGACAGGGTTACACAATTCCAGTATTTATAGCTAATACACTGGACCAGAAATAGTAAATCATAGAAATCTAGATACACTCAAATCTATTAACAATCTCCTAAAATCTTGGTAGTTTGAATATTTGAATCATATCTAACTACCCTAAATCATATCTTCATTTTGAATACTTTGAATCATATCTCAACACTCCCCCATGATTCAAAGTTGCAGATGTAAGTACAGAGCTTTTCTTCTGACAAGACCTTTGTAAGTATGTCTGCTTTAACCCGTACATTGCCTGTCTCAGCTTGTATACCTTTGTTTCTTTGTCTTCCTTTATGAATCCCTCTGGCGGTCTTACATAAACCTCTTCTTGTAAATCTCCATAAAACTTTTCGTTTGGTAGGTCATCCATATCCCATGTTTCATCTTTCTTAAAAGACTGCATCTCTACTGTCATGGCTTTCTTCCCGTCTTCTTTTTCCGTTGCTTCTTCATAATTCATAGGGTCTGAAACAGTAAGAGCAAATTGACATGATGCATATATGTCAGCTAAAGATTTATACTTCCTTGGAGGTGTCTCATCTGAAAGTTCTTCAAGAGAGGAATTGTTGTTCAGTGATTCTGAAGATGATGAATTTGATACACTTTGTGTTGCAGTGGATGCACTGGGAGATGCACTGGAGTTGACCCTTGTCTCTTCATTTGGGGAAACTTCAACTGTAATCTTTTGCTGCTCCTGTTCTTTACTCCAATCCCAACTCACGTTTTCATTAAATATTACATCCCTTCTAACTAAAATCTTTTCACTAACGGGGTTGTATAGTTTATATGCCTTTGATTGAGTACAATAGCCAATGAAAATGCATTTTTCAGATTTTTCATCAAGCTTTTGACGAGTTTGAGGATGTTTCAAAGCATAAGCAACACAACCAAAGATTCGTAAATGACTTACAGATGGTTTCCTTCCATGCCATGCTTCATAAGGAGTTTGATTCATAACCGCCTTTGTTGGTGAGATGTTTAATAGATAAACAGATGTTGCTACGGCTTCGGCCCAAAATTGGTTTGGAAGTCTCCTTGCTTGTAACATACTTCTTGCCATCTCCACAATAGTTCGCGGCCCAAAATTGGTTTGGAAGTCTCCTTGCTTGTAACATACTTCTTGCCATCTCCACAATAGTTCGATTTTTTAAATTGGTTTGGAAGTCTCCTTGCTTGTAACATACTTCTTGCCATCTCCACAATAGTTCGATTTTTTGGTTCAGCGATTCCATTCTGTTCTGGAGTGTAGGGAGCTGTTGATTCCCTTTGGATGCCCTCTTCTTCACAAAAGAGATTGAAATCTTTAGATATGAACTCGCCACCTCTGTCTGTGCGAAGAACTTTAATGTGACAGCCACTTTGGTTCTCTACCATAGCTTTAAAAATCTGGAACTTCTGAAAAGTTTCTGACTTATGTTGTAGGAAGTAAACCCAGCTCATGTGACTATAGTCATCAACGAATAGTAAAAAGTATATACTTCCACCCAAGGACTTCGTTTGCATTGGCCCACATAAATCAGCATGAATTAGTTCTAGATAATGTGAAGCTCTTTTAGCTTTAGTTGAGTCAATTTTTGGTAATCCGAAAACCATACCTTTATCCCTGAGTATTTTCAGGCCGTTCATATGAAGATATCCATATCTGAGATGCCATAATGTTGAATCATCTTTAATGCTAGCCGTAAGAGCAAAATCCTCCATGTTAGAAATATAAGTGGAAACATCTTATTTGAAGTCATGGCAATTTGAACTTTATGACCTGATTTCTTATCTGTGATGACACATGTGTTATCATCAAATAGAACTGAGTGTCCTCTGGTCATTAATTGTCCAACACTCAATAAATTGTATCCTAAATCAGGTACAAATTGAACATTATCTAATTGTTTTATCTTACCGTGACTGGTTTCGACTTTCACTGTACCTTTTCCTTCAACTTGCATCTCTTTTGTATTTCCAAGTTGCACCTTAATCTTTTGCGTCTCATCAAGCTCTTTGAATAAGGATTTGGTGCCTGTCATATGGTTCGAGCATCCGCTATCAACAAACCATAAGTTACCTTCTTTTGGATTCGTATCCATGCATGCCACAAACAACTTTTCTTCTTCTTCTTCATTCTCTGCTGCAAAATTCATTCGTTGATTTTTATACCAACAATCAGATTTTGTGTGACCATACCTTCTACAATGGTAACATTGTATGACATTCCTTTGTTCATTGAATTGTCTCTGTCCATCACTTCTCCACCTGTTATCACGACAACCATGGAAGTTGCGAAATCCTCCTCGTTCACGACTTCTACCTGCTAAATGAATATTTTCTCTTTCATTATTGGTTGTCTCCTTCACTTGTAGTGCCTTTTCTTCATTCCTTTCTGATGCTCTATTGATTCTTGCCTCATGTGCCTGAAGCGAGCCCATCAGTTCATCAACGGAGAGTATGGATAGATCCTTAGCTTCTTCTATGGCGGCCACCACATGGTCAAACTTTGGAGTCAAGCTTCTCAACACCTTTGCAACAATTGTTTCGTTTGAAATTTTCTCTCCATAGGTACGCATCTGACTGACTATTGCCATTGATCTTGACAAAAAATCAGCAATTGATTCGCCATTCGTCATGAGTAGAGTTTCAAAATCATGTCTTAGAGATTGCAATTTCACTGTCATGACCTTTGAATCTCCTAGAAACTCCTTCTGTAGAATTGACCATGCATGCTTTGATGTGGTTGCTGCTGCAATTCGTGAAAAGATAGTCTCATGAACTGCTTGCTGAATAATGAATAGAGCCTTGGCATCGTTTTTCTTGGTTTCTCTTAGTCTCTCCTTTTCTTCTATTGTGGGTTCTAATACATCAGCAAACCCGTGCTCCACCAAGTCCCATAGCTCCTGCGATCTGAGCAAGGTCTTCATCTTGATGCTCCACCACTTGTATTTCTCACCATTAAATATTGGTAACAACGGTGCAGAGGAAGAAAAACCAGCTACTGCCATTTTTGTTTTGTGAAAGAAAATAATCACTCGCCCTCGTGTCGAACGAACTTGGCTCTGATACCAAAATTGTTGGAAAGTGGGATAGTGAAAGAGATAGGAATGGATAGGAATAGATGAAAGCTACCGTGCTTTATTATTGTCTACTGACTCAATGCTTACAGGGTTACACAATTCCAGTATTTATAGCTAATACACTGGACCAGAAATAGTAAATCATAGAAATCTAGATAAACTCAAATCTATTAACAATCTCCTAAAATCTTGGTAGTTTGAATATTTGAATCATATCTAACTACCCTAAATCATATCTTCATTTTGAATACTTTGAATCATATCTCAACAATTTGGATGTCGTTCTTGGATCGAAATACGACTTTGACAAGAATGATTCACAATTTTAAAGAGATTGAGTTTCGATTCTTTCTCGTTTTTGATGACATTCGAACTGTTACCCCAAATGTCAAACTAAAAAAGTGTGGAGTTCGCTTGGTAAATATGGAAGAATAGAGTGAGGCCATGAAAAGGTATGGTTCGTATATTATCATAAAGAACAAGACGAAGTCACTGTTAAAGTATTGATAGATTATTTATCCTGGATATCTTATCAGAAGATTTCGTGTTCAAACCTTTGTAATATCATTTTCTTCTCAATCAATATCTTGAATTAGATATAATTGTGACATTATAAGGATTCCATAACTGGTTGAATAAACCTTAAATGTTGTTTTTATTTAGGGAGTTTTAAATTTAGAAGTTAGTGGAAGGCACATAGTTGTTATAGGAAAGAGTGGAAGTGAGTGGAAAAGTGAAAGACCAATAGTGTTCAGACCAAAGACCAAGAGTTGTGATAGGAACGTTTTTACTAGCTTTTATTATTTGAGTTATAGAACCGCATGTGAATGCTTATAAATAGATTGTTGTTTACTATCGTCGAGAATTAGAGAGAAAGGCATAAAACATAGAAATAATAGAACAATGTTTTTTTAGAAACATATATTCTTTTGTCTCTCCGAAAGAAAAATAGTGTGACTAAGATTTTTTTTGCCTTTTACAATTTAGTATCAGAGCCAAATAGCGAATGTGACGGGTCAAATGCCGCTACTGAGACTAACGAAGACAAACTACGAGAATTGGAGCATTCAAATAAAAGCTTTTCTTGGTTCTCAAGATGCATGGGAGGTGGTCAAAGAAGGTTTTGAAGAATCAAAAGATACCACGAGTTATGCGGCGGTAAAAAACAAGGCGTTGAAAGAGGTGCGATCAAAGGATAAGGCGGCACTATACATGTTGTTCTGAAATGTTGACGAGTTGAGCTTTGAGAAGATTGCCAAAGCAACTACTTCAAAAGAAGCGTGGGACATTTTAGGAAAAGTGTTCAAAGGAGCTGACTTAGTCAAGCAAGTGCGTCTCCAAACTCTTCGTGGCAAGTTGGAGAGCATGAAGATGAAGGAGTCGGAAAGTGTATCTGACTACATTACGCGTGTACAGACTGTGGTAAACCAACTCAACCGAAACAGAGAAATGTTAACCGAGACGCGAGTTGTGGAGAAGATTTTGAGAACGTTGTATGCATGATAGAAGAGTCAAAGGACCTAGTGACGTTCATGGTCGACAAGCTCATTGGTTCTCTCGAGGCACACGACCAACGTAAGAAGAAGAAGGAGGAAACATTCGATCAAGCACTTCAAACCAAGACGTCAATCAAAGATGAAAGGTACTATATTCTCAAAATTTTCAAGGTAGAGACCGTGGCCGTGGAAGTCGTGGAAATGGTCGCGGTGGTCAAGGCAGCAGTCATGAAGGATACTATAAGGAGAAAGGATAGTCGAGCCAAGCAAATTGGCGTGGAAAAGGACGTGGTCGAGGAAGAGGCGACCAATCAAATTATTGTTAAAATAAGACTCACTAATTTGTGAAGTAAATCTCACACACACTAACGATAGAACGCTCCGATACCACTTTGTGAAAATACTACTCGCGTATTTGTGAAGGAGATGTTGAGAGAGGAGAGACAAGGAAACAAAGTACACCGAGTTTATCAAAAAGACCTTTTCTATTGCTCTGTATTTTCTTTTCTCTCTTCTTGCTCTGACTCTACACTAAAAGGATTAGGTATTCCTAAAAACTTGTTGGCTTTTCTATTACCTGACTTTTCAAATTAACCTCTCCTCAAAAAAATTACTTAAAATTAACATTTAGCATTTTATTTCTATAAAACTAACATTTAGCATTTTAAGTTTATTCCAACAACTATTCCAACATTGAGTGCTACAAATGTCACAAATTTGGTTACTATGCCAATGATTGTAACTCCAACAAATGTTATAATTGTGGTAGAGTGGGACATTTTGCAAAAGATTCTTATTTTGGTAAGTCAAACTTATTATTAACTCACAGAGATTCTTCACTCCTAGCAATTCCCGCATCTCTGCAAACTTAACCTTTGCTAGGTCCTTGATTAGAATATCCACACGTTGCTCTCTAGTGCACATAAACTCCAAAAACGATTTTTTTCTTCTCAACACACTCACAAATGAAGTGGAAGCTAGTGTCAATGTGTTTACTGCATCCGTGAATTACTGGATTTTTCATCAGTGCAATCACAGATTTGTTGTGGACGTAGAGGGTTACTAGCTTTAGTTCACTTCTAGTCACTTCACACAACAAATTTCTTAGCCATGATGCTTGGCATGACGGCCCAGTTGCAACCATGACCTCGGCCTCATAGGAAGATAGTGCCACAATTTGCTGCTTCTAAGATTGCCAAGAGATTAAATTTTTGTTGAGATAAAACGTCATTCCTGTGGTGCTTTTTCTATATTCAATGTCTCCAGCTAAATCACTATCGGTAAAACCGACTAGTTCTTTAGGACCTCGCCCTCTTTGATACTTCAACCCGTAGCTTGTGGTTTCCTTCACATAGCAAAGAATGTGCTTAACCGCTTGATGATGCATCATAGTGGGCTTTTCCATGTACCTACTCACTATTCCAACATATGAAAGGTCCGGACGAGTATGAGTCAAGTATCTTAGACTTCCGATGACACGCCTATACTTAA